CCGCATGACCCCAATCTTATCTATCATTACCTACCTTATAATGTCAAACACCAAATTTGATGAGATGGATTTAATTATTGACTATATCCAAAACATGACCTTAGTTTGTCTCCCTACCACCTGTAGAAAACAAAATCTAGCCTTTGGCCACCTCATAGGTTACATTCTTCAAAACAAATATCAATTAATCTATCCTAGTGAACCTAACAATCTACCTCTTTTCTATATGGATGCCTCCTTTCGTATTTTGTTTCATCTTGGGCAAGAGCCAGATGAACCAAATTTTGATGAAGAAGAAGGAGAAGCTGCTCCAACAGCAGCTCCAGTTCGACCAAGACAGCATACACCACCCCGAGGACCTACACCATCCTATCCTCATGATGACTTAGTCGAATGATTCGACCAACTACAAATCCACCTTGACACTCACATACAAGAACAGCATCAACAACACGAGGATGACATGCGGTGGTTTGGGGAAGGCTTTTCCTCAATCGATCAATATTTCGCGTCCATCCACCACTACTTTAAACCACCTCCACCTCCACCTCCACCTCCATCTGATCAGGATCCTACTTTTTGACTTGTCTTTATTTTGTGTTGTTTTTCTTAGTGTTGTTTGTTTCTCCTTTTTTTTGTGATGTCAAAATGGGAAGAAGTTTGTTGTGCACTTTAGTTAGTATGTCTTGTCTTATCTATCTTATTATCTCTAATTCAAATGAATTGCATTTTCTTTTTGTTTATGCTTCTACTCATTTTGTTTTATTTAATTAAAAAAATAACACAAAAAATTCTTTGTTAATTTCTTTAATAAGAACATTATTTGATATCATCAAAAAGGGGGAGATTGTTGTAGTCCACAATCCCTACTTTGATATTTTGATGATGACAAATAATATCATTTCAATTACTATTCATTAAATACTTTTGATTTTTGCTCTTATCTATGAGTACTAACATTTCAGGAATATCACAAGTTACTCAGGACAATAAGAAGACTCAAGACTAGGTAGAGTAGAAGTTGAAGTTCATAACATTATAATTTTTTATTTATTATTATTTTTTATTTTCTTGAGTCTGACCATAAATTGTATGCAAGATTGGGCAACCATGCACATACATAGGGGGAGAGGGTTTTAAAAATAAAGAAAATTTTTTTCTCTTTCGATCGTGCTGTATGAGTTTAATTCGTACTATACAATCTAATCTGGCACAAACGGCTATTTGTAAACAAGTTGTACTATATGATGTATATCGTACTGTACGATGTGTTTCTAATTAAAAACCCTAGTCGCCAGATTAATTTTAGTAAGTTCTTAATTTGTAAATTTTGAACTAATTATAATATACAATTCTATCATAATGTACGATATTTTTGAATACTTACTTAAATTAACCCCATGTTAGTGCGTAAATCAAGGATTAATTTCTGATTGTTTATCATTTTGTACGACACCGTTTGTACTGTATGATCAAGCGAGGTTGTTTTCAATTGTCCCAGACATTATACCGAATGATCCCTTGATTTTGAATTAATAATACTATACAAAGTGGTTCGTACCATACAACGTACAAAGATGAGTTTTCATCATCCCAGCAATCTTCTTGTACGAACAAAATGATTTTACATATCATATTGTACATGTTTATATCATAATATATAATAGTATTCATAAATTTTGCCTGTTCGTAAACCTTCGTACCAGGATGAAGGCTGTTTTGTATTGATTGTACTGTATGATCATAGCGGCTAAATTGAAATTTTTAGGGTTTCTTAGAGCCTGTTTTAAGTATCAAAACTTCTATTTTTTAGAGAGATATGAGAGAGGAACGTGATTAGGGGGGATTCCTTGAGAGAGAGCTCCTGAGAAGATTTTGGGGTTTGTGAGAGGAAGGAGAAGGTGGGCTTTATGAGGGAAAAGGAGTGTGAGGGAGATCACACGGTTGCTCCTAGCTTGTTGCACGTTGCTCCTCCTATGGCCCAAGAAGATCTTATGGGAGACTCTCTAAAGGGGAGATCCTTCTACATCCGTGTCCTCTAAGGTACTCTGCATTCTTCAGGAGGGAGAAAAATGAGAAGGTATGTTGTCGTCACCAAGAGGGTGACAAAGGGCTTGGCACTACGCCACGTCGGGTTGGTGAAAGTGAGGTTTGTGAAGGCTTCTTCGCCTTGTTGTGGGGATAAAAGGAGAATTAATGTTTAGCAGTGAAATTCTCGAAGTGGAGGACTCCGGGGAGTGGATGTAGGTCAAGTGACCGAACCACTATAAATTCTTTGGTATGATTTTTCCCTTACTGCACTTTATTTATGTTTTGCATTTTATTTTCATTAAAATTGCTTGGTGAAAATTATTATGAAATTCATTATTGAGCAAGTTAATTTTTCACTACCTCTTGTTACAAATTATGTTTTAAGCATTCGCTTCCATATCAATTAATTTTCTCGTTTAAAATTTAAAAACACAAAAATTAGAACTCCTATTTAGGATTGTCTTTTTATTACAACAAATTTTCAATTCACCCCCCTCTTGGAGCATCTCGTAATTTCATTTTTGATTTATAAATACACATGATATAGATTTTATTGAACTAGCCTTGACACTAGCATAACATGACATAACATATTAGCATGTGATGAGGACCACTGATAGATATTGATACGACATATTGGTATGATGTATCAGTATAATGATAAAAGCAGATAATAGAACTATCAACATAAATATAACTAATTGAAATATAGGTGTATTCCACTGTATAGTACTTATTATTGATCGATGGACTTTTTGTTGATTCTATTGTATATTGGTGGATTTCTTTTGCTTCCTAAGATATTTTGGCTTTATTGATCATGTTGATTTTACATAAATTTATTGATATTCATGTTGATGGTAGAATAATTGATATTGTTTAAACCGGGTATACATATTGATTTTTTGTCTTGCATTATATGTGGTGGTAAGTTTTGGCTACTTGTTGTGGTATTTACTCATTATGTGGTTTAATATGATTTCAAGTAAAAGTAAGAAGCATGTAGATTAAGGGTAAGTAGTAATGATAGTTAAGCTTTTATGATCAGCTTTTTTGGCTTTATATATGTATATATTATTTTGAACTTTAGACAATAATTAGGATGTAAATATTGAGAGTAGTAATAAATTTTTTTTTTTTTTATGTTCGAATTTTTTTCTTATTGCAATTAGCCAGCTCTAGTTGTCCATATTCAGTTGATAATGAATAGATACAAAGATTATCTAAAGAAAAGAAAATGAAATTCTTCCATTATAGACACTGACATGTCACACCTCTATAAAGAGAATTAAAAGATTAGTAAATTATGGGGTCCTTAGTTAGCTACATTCTCTTGATTTTGAGACTTGTGTAGGTTGCATTAAGCAAAAAAACACAAAAGTTCAAAAAGGGCGCTAATAGAAGTTTCAACAAAGGCTGACCCAAAAGCACCAATTGAATTATTCAAAGATTGGAAATCAATTTTTGTGACATATACATGTTTTGGGATATTCTTCTAAAATGAGGATATATAGCCTATAATAGAAGAAATTGGATCCGATGACTATTAATGAATATTTTATTGGATACATCAAAATGTTTAAAGAATATATATTTTATTACCCATCTCACACTACTATAACTGTTAAATAAATAAAAAAATGTTAAATTTCTGAAGAATGACTTCATTAATAGAAGTGATTAGCTTTGGAATAAAGTTTCTGAATATGATCATGTGAACTGAAAACTAATCATATTAAGTGATATTTCGTTATATTTCATAGCACCCTTCAGGTACTAACGATCAATCATTAAGTTCCATAGGGTATTGATAAGATTTCTAGAAATCAAATAATTTAGGAATTACTAGGATGTAATAAAGCTAAATTTAATTCCATTAAAATTTCTAAAAATTGACTGAGATAGTGCTGTGCCACTGAGCCTATTAGGTGCTGCAACGCCAAGCTCTCGGATTTTTTAAAATTTTAGTGTGTAGCAGTGCTAGGGCATTGAGTGCTGCAACACAGTTAAAAAATTTTATTTTTTTTAATAAATTGTCAGAAAGCATTTTTTAAAAAATCTTAATGTAGTACAACAATTAGATCAACAACTACATCAAATTTAAATAAAAATCTCATATATATATATATAATTGTAAATAAACAAATTAATTAAATATAATAATATTATACTACACCTTTTTTTCCTTCAACATTATTTTAAAATATACATACACTTGACGCACTTAGACTCGAAATACAAACAAAAAATAACTGAACAGCTGAAATCACAAGGTCGCAAATCAAATCGGTTTAATCGCTCATACCAAGTAACAGTAACCAGGAAAATCACTTTGGATACCTGAAAATATTTAATAGTATTTCGCCAAAGCCTTCTAACTTCAACACTCAACAGAACCACACCGACCTCTAACGATATTGAAATTAACCAAGCTTAAAATAAATTTCATAAATAAAATGGAATTATTACAGACACATTGGATAGCATTATCATTTGAAGAATCTCTTTATAATATTTAGTAAAATATCGCATTAAAATCTATTAATATGATAAAATTGATCCAAATATAACACTAATTAACTAACAATTCTGACAATTTAATAAAAAAGATTTACAAATATAGTGGTAAAATAAGCTATATCTTACAAAGCATCATCGATTCAAATAATTTATCAATTCCTCTCACAGCAGATAACAGGATCGAAAAGAACAAACACAAATAGTCACATAAGAAAAAATAAATAAATAATCAGCAAAACAAAAACTTATTAAATATAAAATACTTTAACAAATCCAACAGAGGTCAGCATTGTAGAACCTAACAAATTTAGGCTTCGTTTGGAACTTCTTTATTACTGATTTTTTAAATAAATTTTTAAAACAAAATTTTTTTTATTTTAAAAAGTATGAAAACTGCTCCTGGACAACTCACATTAGAAATCATTCCAAAAAAAAAACTTCTAAGTATGTAGTCATAAAAAATAAACCAGTAAGTAGAATTACTTCGGTATTAAAACCATCCGAAAGACATAAATTCAAGCACAAGTTACATGCAAGAGGAGTTCAAGTAGGTTTATATAATTATATTCAAGGTTTTCTAGATTTATATACCGATCTCTCTTCATTTAGATATCTCTACCAGGAATATCTCTGGCAGCGTTAGGAGGATTTCCTCCCTGATATGCTGAAGCGCCAGGTTGACCGCCCTGAAAACCTCCATTGCCGCCACCCTGGTTGTAAGCACCATTACCACCATTACCTTGATTAGAAGGGCTGCCATTTAGGTAATTGGTGGAGCCGAAGTTTCCTTGTGAGGAAGCTGGACCACCACCACCAGTAGGGCCTCCTTGGGACGCTTGATTACCTCCATAATAAGGGGTAGAGCTGCTAGGCTGGCCTACCGGATACATTGGGTTGCGGGGAAGACCAGCTTGATATCCTTGGCTGACAGACTGGCCGGCTTGATATGCCTGACCAACCGGAGGTCCGGACTGATAACCCTGGCCACCAGGTTGACTAGCTTGATAACCCTGGCCGCCAGGTGGACTCACTCGATAACCCTGGCCGCCAGGTGGACTAGCTAGATAACCCTGGCCACCAGGTGGACTCACTTGATATCCCTGGCCATTAGGTGGGCCAGATTGATAGCCCTGGCTGCCAGTAGCACCTGCTTGATAGCCCTGGATGCCAGGTGGACCAGCTTGATAACCTTGGTTGCCCATCACACCTGCCTGAAATCCATGGCCGGAGGGTGGACCAGATTGATAACCCTGGCCACTGGGTTGAGCAGATTGTGGTGGCCCAGTTTGATATCCATATCCAGGCTGAGCATTGGGCGCTTGATTAGAGAAGGAATTTGGGTTTGAAGGCATCGGATTGGGTGAATTCTGTGGTGGCACATTATGTCCAGACTGTGTGGGAGATGCAGCATTCTGAAAATTTGGCATGGGAGGAGCTTCTCTACTTTGGTATTCCCGACTCTGCATATTCTCCCTACGTCGTTCGAAATTCCTTGACCGATCAAAGTTGCGAGGTCGGTCTGGGCGTCTGTTCCTCTCATTGGCCCGACTATTGTTCCTCACCCACTCTTCATGGTATTTTGGGTCATATGGAACAGCTTGCCCATCAATAAAAGGCTCTCCTGTGGGATAAAAGCAGAAAGAGTGCCAAAATTAGTCTAATTTAGAGAACAATGAACTTCCAGCATAGCAATAACACTCACACCAAATAAATGAAAAAAGCGCAATTGCTAAAGCCAAAGCTGTAGATAACTAATAAAAGAGATTATATATACTATAGCCTCTTCACATTTACCCTTCAACAGCATAATCATACTATTTTTAACGTTTTCATTATTGTTTGTTGTATCAATAGGTTTTGGCAGGAGACTAATAATCAGAGTGGCAAACTTTCATTCAAAATGTTCTATAAAGTTAAATTTATATGTAGCTACTAAGCTCAATTGCAACCGTGAAAAGATTTACACAACTTAGCGAACCGAACATGGCTTAAAATTGCACAATTGGATATTGAGGTATTTTTTTATTTGTAAGGCGAGGTATAAACCTCAAGGCGTTGAAGCGTAAGCCTATTAGACATCAACCTATACATCAAGAAGGGTTAGACTACGTAGTTTTTTTGTCATGCATCAACCTATACACCTAAGAGTAGTAAGTCTGTTAGCCTCAAGGTGTTTTTTGTTATGCTTGTTAATCTACATCAATATGGGGAAGGCGCATTTTGAGTAGGTGCAGACTCCTTAAGGAAGAAAAGAAACTAGAAAGGAATAAACCAAAAATCTTACTTCCTGAATTCAATTACATCATTTGGGATCTATTTATAGTATTTACATAAACCGGTTTTGGGTTTAATAAAAAAATAGACCAGCTGGTTCAATACAAAAATAAAAGAACATGCATTGGGTTTAGGACGGGTTTAATACCAAAATAAATATAACCACGAGTTGTTGTAGTGTTATCAATCATTGGAAAGTTTGCTTCGTCTTCTATGATAAACTTTAAATATTTTATTATCTTGATATCAATTTTCTAAATTGTTCATCCATTCTTGACATTGTTGTTGTACTATCTTTGAATCCAAAAGAATATATTATTGCTTAAAACTCCCATCATCATGAAAAATAATCTTACCCTCAAGGTTGAGAGATGGAAAAGAAATAGAAAGAGCTTTCATGTGTAACCCTTGGTACCAACTAGTTGCATGTCCTTCAAGATGAAAGGAAGCTATGCTAACACAATGATAATCAAGTGTTGTGAAAATCGAAATATTCTCATGCTTTAAAGGTCCATGTTTGACTTCGAATCCATTAAAGCAAGGAAGTTTAATTTTCATTGATTTAACAAAAGATAAACTTGTAGGAGATGATGGCGGTTGTGAAGAAGGGATTCGATTGGCAGAACAAAGGATGATGCCGGAAAAAGAAGGATATTGATGGAGTGGAGTAGGGGGTCAGTCAATGAACAAACTATCAAGTTTCTTGTCAATAAAATGCATGAAAGCGTTGAATGGTAGTAGTGATAATAGAGACAATTTTAACATTGGCTTGTTGTAAAGATTTTTGGATTTGGGAGAATTGTAATTCTTGATTGGTTTGCATTGTTCGGAGAGCTCAGGCCAAATCTGCATTTTTCATGTTGAGAGGTCTTTGGTGACTACCGAAAGGGAATAAAAGATGTGGTTCTTGATAGAAAGAATCGGGGGACCTGATGCAGTCTTGAAAAGGGGAAGGAAAAAAAAAAGGAAGTTCTGGCATAGCAACTGGCCGAATTTGTTGCTGTTTGGGCTGTCAAAGGACCTCCTGGTCTTGAAACTGATGTTCTTGATGCTCAAAATGTTGTAGGTTGGTAAAACCGTTGCTAGAATGTGCTGGCTGAAGGTTTAAAGCCGTGGCTGGAACATGTTGGTTGAAGGGAGGCTGTCCAATGGGAAGACGTGAAGGGGGATATTGAGGATCCTTGCAGGAATCTTGAAGTTTACAAGTAAATAAGGTGGTGGAAGGAGCTGGAAGCAACAAACTGCAGCTGGCAGTAGAGATACCAGCAGTTGACTTGCGTTGCAGGCGACAATGAAAGCCCTGATGAAAACAATTTGATGAAGAAGGGCAAGAGTGAAAGACCAGCAAGCGTAGAAATGGCCACTATTTTTAATGCTGCAGGAAGTGATGTTCTTGATGTCTACTTTTAAAATCAGCAGGTCTCCAAATTGCTGGTCTTGATGTTTGCTGTTAAAAGCAGCAAGTCTTCAAACTGTCCATCTTGAAAGGAGAAGAAAGGCTGCCAAATGCTAGAGCGAAGGTACAGAATGCAAGGACTGATCTAGCTACCGAGAATGTGAAGGTTCAAGGGTGCCACATGCAGGTTGGCTGCAGTAGATTTGCAGCTGGAATGTTCATGGCTGAACTGAAATCTGTAGGGAGGTCTCCTGGCAAAAAGGAGAAGAAGGTACAGGGAAGACTTCAAACAACCCAAGTTGGCTGGAAATAGGCTGGCAAAGGCGGGTTGTGGTTAGCTTGTTCAACTGAAGAAAAGTGGCAGGAAAATGAGGTTCTTGTGCAGTTGAAACGGTAGAGTATTGAAGGATAGAAGCATCTTTGAAAGAGGAAAAACATGTACCTAGGTGGCTGGATAGACCTGCAGTTGAAAAGAAGGCTGCAGTCAGATTGGCTGAGGACAGATTGAAGGCGGCTGAAACACGCTAGAGAGGCTGGTGGCCAAGAAACTTGAAGTAGAACCTGAAGGCTGAGGTAGAGCAGTGTTTTCTGATGGAGAAACAATATCTTGGCGGCTAAAATGAAGGTAGGCAGTAGTGGAGGAGACTGGCCAGATGAAGAATGAGGTGAAAAGATGAATTTAGCACAACAAGAGCACCAATTGTTATGCTTCTTGATCTACGCCAAGAAGAGGAAGGCATCTTTTGAGTACATGTGGACTCCTTAACGAAGAAGAAGAGAGACTAGAAAGGAAAAAATCAAAACTTATTTCCTAAATTCAATTACAGCATTTGAGATCTATTTATAGTGTTTACATAAACCGGTTTTGGGTTTAATAAAAGATTAGACTAATCGATTCAATACAATTAAAATAAAAAAACATACAATAGGTTTGGGACCTGTTTAATGTTGAAATAAATATAACAACTAGTTATTGTAACCGGACCATTGTTGCAATGTTCTCAATCTTTGAAAGATTGGCTTAACTCTTCTTCTATGATAGACTTTAACAATTTTATTATCGTGATGTTGATTTTCTAAATTGTTCACACATTCTTGATATTGATATTGTAATATCTTTAAATCCAAAAGAATATATTATTGCTTAACAAAGCCTCAAAAAAAATTTGTGTAAAGTGAAAATAAAAGTTATAAATGATTTTTATATAATACTCAAATAATACAGTAAAGAATAACATATTAACTTTTTATTGAATTTTGAAGTAAAAATAATAGTATACATATAAAATAAACAATTGCACAATACGTAAAGTACAAGTGATAAATTGCATTTAAAAGAATTAAATCCAAATATTAAAAGATCAAAACAATCTTAAATATAGAAATTGCATAAAAGTATCATATAGCATTAAATTCAACTCAAAATTCCTTGTTTCTCATTTCCCGACTCATCAATATTTAATTTCTAAAGAAACTGAAATAATAGTCAATAATTCAAAAATCATATGCACTGTCATCACTAAGAAAGATCATATTTGAGTCATCATTATAACAAATTGGTCTCCCACGTGCCGCATCCTATGGAGTACATTGCCTCCCAGTCTACTTCTTCATTTATTTCAGTCATCTTCCTCTTTCATAAATATTTTTCATCAACTAAAGATTAGATTAATAATCCAAAATTTTAGATGAGGTAGTGGTGGTGTACAGCTTTTGAGTGATCCCCGACGGTGGCTACGACAGTGGTGGTTATGGCGAAGGTGGCGGGCTAGAGATTTGAGGCAATCGAGAAGAACTTGATGAAAAGGATGGATGCATATAAAAGGCAAAAGATTAGAAGCAAAGCAATCTTCCGAAATTTAATACGCAATCAGTGAAGGTCAACAAGATCAGCATATATATATAAGAATGCACTCCGCAACAAAGAAAGTAAGCTTTTCATAAATAATATTTAATCAACTTTTCATTAAAGTTAGATGGTATCAACAAGAAATGCATCACTATTAAATGTGCCGTTGTTTTGTAGAAAAAACAAAGTATAAGCATATAGTTTGGAAAACTAAGTACTTGACTAGAGTAAAAGACCATATTTATCAAACTGGAAATAAAAAAAAAAAACTGATCATAGTAAATCAAATTAATATGAAATCAGATATGAGGTTCGTTTGGTTGATTGAAGTTAGAAAACATGTTTTGAAAAAAAAATGAATTTATCAAATTCCATCGTTTAATGAATGTAGTACAAAATAAATATGACCAAACTGTACAAACATCTTCAAAAATCCTCAATACTAAGGAGTTCAATTCCACACTCAAAATTAGTGAAAACAAAAGTATCACCATCAAAAACATTATTCCATCAACTAACAACCAAATGAACCCCTAGAGAAAAATCAAAAAAAAAAAAAATACATGAACATTATTTTACTCCAACGCCATAACAAAAAAATAATTGCAAATCAAGAAGAACATAAAGCATGAAAAAAATAAACAAAATCTAAAATCTTATAAAATATCTTAAAACTAACCTAACAAGTTGAAATTTGAATTATACTGCATAAAGACTTAAAAAGGATTAAAAAGAGTAATGATAGCTGTATAACTCACAAGGCACGCCATATTGGAAATGTAAATCATAAGAATAACCAGCTGATTGTTCAGTAAATGTTAAGAACTTTTATGAAAAAACTTCAAAAATCAAAACTATCAAGCAAAAACAAATAATCATATAAGAATATCACCTCCATAGTCTTTCTCTTTAACATTAAGATAAGAATCTGGAAGTACCCAGCGGACACCTGGAAGAGCTGCATTGACCACAATAAAGAAGATTAAGAGTATGAGTTGTAATTTTGGCCATACCTTGGGATAAAGAAGCAGCTTAAAAAACCATACCCTTGATTTTGTACGATAGTTCTTCAGAAACAAGAGCTCCAAAGGCGAAGTAATGCTTGGTCGAAACAGAATATATTTTCATTCTTGCCTCCTCTTCGCTGCAAGAAAAAAAAATCTCATGAAACTGAAAGCATGAGAGCTATGAATTAAAAGCAGTACATTTATTGCAGCAAAATAAAGAGTTAATTTAATGGACAAATAAGCAATACTAATGTCTATAAAAAAGCACATATGGCTCACAACATAACCAAAGAAAATCTCCAAGCCACTAAATAGATGATAAATGATATGCCCTTCCCAAGTTTCATCCATTCAAATGTCCTAACACTTATTTTAGGGGATGTTTGGTAGCAGGTTTTAAGCAGGATTTGCTGTAAACCTGCCAAACGAAATAAAAAAACTGCTCATAAATCCCAACTCCATGTAAATTCCAGATCTATCATTTTTTGTAGTAAATCCGGGATTTGGTAAATCCCATCATTTGATGGATATTACGGGATTTCGAATTTCTGAGAACAAACTCCCACATCCTTGTTACCAAGCGTCACCTGATTCGCATATATATAACATGCAAAAGGGTAAAAGATTGTTACCTCGCACAAGCTCCGATCAAACTTTTGATCCTACAAGAAAAACGTTTTCTAAGGAAGCTAAAATCCTTTAGTGACTTTCAAACTATGCTTTATGCAAAGCAGGTGAGGTCAAAGATAGGAGGAGGAAAAGCAAACCCTAGATATGCCTAAGGCTATAGGAAGAGCAAAGACAATTACCAAATAGGATAAATTAAAGAAATAAATAGACAATTTCAGAGAAGAACACTACCTACCCTCTCCCAACTCCAATCTACTTCAGCTTTTCTTGTTTTTACCTTTTTATTTTCTTCATTATGGGCTACAACAATGGTATATGATATGGGAAATACAACTAGTCAATTGGATAATAAAAGAATTAATATCATGGCATTATAAATAATAATTTTTTGAGGTCCTAATTTTTAGGTATTACTCTATCATACAATTTATAATTAATATTTAGGCCTTTATTTAGAAGGTAAAGATTAAATGATAATTTTTTGTTTCATTATTTTTGATATATCATAAAAAAATTAACTTGTTCGGGCATGAACGTCGAGGCAAAATCAAGTTAGAAACTTCCGAAATTAAATATGGGACCATCTGAACTCCGATTTCAGCAAATTTATAGTCCAACTGAACATCTCTAAAATACGAACCCAATGGCACTAAATTCGACTCAATCCGAGCCCAAATGGGTCCAAATTGAAGACCCAAAGCACATTTGAAAAGTTCAAACTATAAATTGGATGACCAAAAATGTGACATGCTTATAGTAAAATCAAGTGGCTCGACGAAATGAATCCAAAGAGTCCAAGATCATTGAATTTTGATATCATTAGAACATTCAAATGCTTAATAAACAGTCCACGATCAATATCGTCCGTACATTCAAACCAGTCTCAACTTACCCTTGATCTTCCTCGTATTTACTGGTCATGCCACTCTCAGAAAACTATAAATAATCCCTCATTCTTCATGGAAGTGGGATCAAAAAAGGAAGGAGGAAGTGGGGGAGAAGAGAAAAAATAGAAGAGATGAAGAGAAACTTGAGATCTAACTTGCCACCAAGCTCCTCCTCAACCACCGCCCGGTCACTAACTATCGCAAGACTTACTCTCAACCACCAATTGTCGCCGGACTTCCGCCAATATTGCCAGAATTACACTCGGCCACCGACCATTGTCAGACTTCTGCCCAGCCACCAATTATTGTTGGACTTCCGTCCAGCCACCGACTATCGTAGAACTTCCCCCCGACAACCATCACCAGAAAACTGTCTTTCTCCATTGCCGTCTACCGACTACGGTACTTCCGGCCTCTGTCGCCATACTATATTTTTTCTGACCTTTGTCACCCGTCGAATATGGTCCTTCCAACCTCCATCACCAGACTATGGTCTTTCCAAACTGACGCTCACCGACTACAGTCCTTTCGACATCTGTCGCCAAATAACCGTCTTTTTTTCTACTGTCGCCAGCCGACTACGGCACTTCCGACCTCTGTCGCTAGACTTTGGTCTTTCCGACCTCCGTCGCCCGACAACGATCCTTCCGACCTACGTTGCCAAACTACGATCTTTCCGACCACCATCGTCCATCGACTACGATCCTTCCGACCTCTGTTGTCAGACTACGATCTTTCTAACCACTGTCGCCCGCCGACTACAGTCCTTCAGACCTCCATTGCCAGACTACGAACTTTCCAACATTTGTCGCCCGCCAACTACAGTCCTTCCGACCTCCGTCACCAAACTACGATCTTTTCGACCTCCGTCACCTGACGACTAATGTCCTTCCGACCTCCATCGCCAAACAACGGTCCTTCCAACCTCTGTCGCCGAACTACGATCTTTCCGACATCCGTCGTCCATCGACTGCGCTCCTTTCAACCTCCGTCGCCCGCCGACTGCACTCCTTTCAACCAACCACAATCACTCGCCTACGGTCTTTTCAAAATCTGTCGCCTGCCGACTATGGTCCTACCGACTAAACGAACATGTCAATACTAATTCTACCAATTCCCACCATGTAATGCACTTTATATGAGGTATATTTGCTATATCAAACCAAGGTCTTCCCTCAAGGAAGAGCCTCATTTGTAACTTACTGCAACACTAATGGATTCATTCAAACTAAGCCGGGCCAAATGATTTTCCCCCTTCTCAGGGATTTCCACGTAAAAGCTCTAGCGTCTTGATAGGAAGTGCTTGTATTCACAAGCAACCTATCCAAAATCGGCGAACCAACAGCAGCCAAATGGCTGTCCACAGCAGGAAAACAGCAGATTTCTGCTATTTACAGCAGGAAAACAGCACTTGTCCGGGAAAATACGAGAGAAAACTCAAGAAAAGACTTGTATTCCACTTAGACGATGAATAAAAGAGCAAGATACAATTGATCCTCAATTCGAGAGGAGGATCGATCTCTCCCAAATCTCTAGACGCCGCTAGCGCCCAAAGAAATCCTAAATCTACGAGATCTCAAATTTCAGCCAAATTCAAGATGCCCAAACCCTAGGAAAAACAACTATTTAATGCATACAAATCAAAAGGAAATCCCTAAACAGCCCCTACATTCAAATTTTCCTCTCAAAACGCTAAAAACGCTTCCTAAAATGCTCTAATGGGCTGGTCGGGCCGCTCGATCTCCGCAGGAGGCGGAGATCTCCGCCTGTTTCGCGATTTTGGCCCGTGAACCGGTCCCGCCTGGACCGGCTGGACCGGTTCAGTGGACCGGTCTAACACGTCTCTTATGAACGTTACACCCTCCTTTTATTAATAATTAATTAATTGATATATATAATAAGTATATTTTAATTAATCTAATTAGGATTGATAAAAAAATTAAATTAAAATTATTAAATTCAATAATATAAATTAGATATAAATAAAATTAATCAATTATAAAATATTAACAATTAATTTGATACTATTAATAAATTATTCGAATTAACATATTTAAATCCTGAAGTAGCAAAACAACTCATTAATAATTAACCGGATTTAACTTCTATCATACCAAACAATTTTCAGGATTTACTAAATTCATAAGTATGGGGCTATTTGGCAACGAGTAGGATTTAACTCTAGCAAGATTTAGTAAATCCTACAAATCCAAATTTAGTAAATCCTAGCTATGTTAAATCTCAAAAACTGTTTGGCACGATAATTGTTACATCTCATGAAACTACTTAAAAATATAATCCAAGATTCAAGGTGGTTGTTGATTCATTACAACAACAACAAGCTTTTATCCCACTATATGGGGTCAGTTACATGAATCCTCTTTTCTCCATTGTGTCCTATTAGGAGTCAAATTCTCATTTAAAACTAATAAAGAAATGTCATTTCTAATATTTTCTAACCAAGTCTTCGTAGGTCTAGCTCTACCTTTCTTAACATAGATAAAATTTAATACATCTACTCTCCAAACAGGTTAGATGTCCAAACCATCTAAGGCGGCTCTCTCTAATGTTATCTATCATTAAAACTACTCCAACATTTTCCCGGATATGCTTGTTTCGCATCCTGTCTCTAAGAGCAAGTCCACTCATCCACTTTAGCATCCTCTTCTCAACAATACTTAGTATTATGCTTCTCTTTTAACATCCAACATTCTGCACCATAAAGCATTACAAGTCTCGCCACCATCTTATAAAATTTTCCCTTAAGATTGAGTGGTACTTTTCTATCACACAACAAACCCGAAGCATTCTTCCACTTCCAACAATCCAACTTGAATTCTACTAATAATATCCATATCTATTTCACCATCACTCTGAATAATAGATCCAAGAAATCTAAAACGAGTATACTTATTAATGACTTGATCGCTCAAAAGTCACAAACCCCCCACTAGATCTATTACTGCTAAAATTATACTCCATATATTCGATTTTAGATATACTCAAACGAAAACCTTTAGACTCTAAGGTTGATCTCCATATTTTGAGTTTACCTTCAACTCCCTCTCTAGTCTTATCAACAAGAAGAATATCATCAGCAAAATGCATACACCAAGGTATATCTCTTGCAAATGTCTAGTCAGAACATCCAAGACTAAAGAAAAAAAGATAAGGGCTTATAAATCATTAAAACTTAAAATTTTTACATCGTAAATTGCTTTTTTAGACACCTTACGAGGCTTGTATATCTTTCTCAATTTTCAAAAATTTTACATCTGAACCAATTATTATGATAAGCTTCTTATTTTTAACTTTTTCTTGCACATTTTGATTCAACCACCAACTATTTTTATTATTATGAGTTTTTTCTTTTAAAACTTCAAGCACATCCTCTACAATATTCTTAATATTATTATCTACTTTATCCCACATAATAATCGCTTCTTCATGCACAGATAAAATGTTAAGATTTTGAATTTTATTCTAAACAATATTTTTGTTAGTGTTTTTTAAAAGCCCCCATCTAATCTTAGAAAAAAATTTTACTAAATTTTTCATATTCTGCCCCTTCATCTTAAAATCAAAAACTAATAAGTGAATTTAAAGTTGGGTTTTGAATTAAATTTTCATGCTAAGTATGCATTATTTATTAATTTCAATTTTAATTATCACTAATAAATTATAAAGATAAATAGTATAATTCATGGTTTAAAATTGCGCAATATGAGGCTCGCCTTGAGGCCCGCCTTTGCGCAATTCCAGTAAAAAGCGCCTCGATGCTTACGCCTCGAGTTTTTGTTATGAGGCTTGCGCCTCAACTTAGTTGAGGCCCGCCTCGCCTCACGAATGAAAAACGCCTCAATACCCGAATACGCAATTTTAAACATTGGTATAATTAAAAGCTAGCTTAATTATTAAATAATTTATTTACTAATTATAATATTAATTATATAATTACTTATTTAGGTGTTAATTTAATAAGTATTTAACTACTAACTATAAGTATCTAATTAATTATTTAATTATTATTTGAAATAACAAATTATTTAATTAATACCCAATATTAATAAATTAATTAATTATTTAAGTGTTATTTAATTACCTATTAATTATTAATTAATTATGTAATTATTATTATTATGTAATTAATTACTTAATTATGTAATTATTATTTACAATGCTAACTATATAGTTATTTCTATTTCAAATTATATTTAGCTAATTAGATTAATTCTTAGGGTTTTCTTCCACTTCGCATGATTTTTAGCTTCATTGTCATTTTGCTTTGGCTTCGCATGCTTCTTTGCTACTTCAACTTCATATGCATCATCAGAAGTAGAATTTTAAAAGAGTTGCCAAAGAAGCTTCTTGGCCCCTTCGACAACATTGCTCCTATCAAAAGTAAGGATGGGATCTTGTTGCATAGGTAACCACCTTTCTTCCATTTCGCACGGGTCTTAGTCCAAGTCCTATAAATCAGCCGAACTCTCAAATTTAATAAATTTGATATTTACGCCAAAAATCGGGTAACAGAGGATTTATCTCACCGTGAGATTGGCAGGATTCTCAAATCCCAATTGGCAAGATTTATACTAAATCCTGCATAAATATGGTTGATAAACAACCCTTATCAGATTTATTAAATCCTATTTGAGTTAAATCCTACTTGCAGCCAAACAGCCCCTTGAATACTTGTTAACAACAAATGGGACAAATGTCTTTTTGGAGTTGTGGCGCAAAGCGCATGCCATTTGAACATGATGCAAACCATACAATAATTGTAAACTTTTGAAAACGTATACAAATTGAAGCATAAAAGGAGAAAAATCCAGTAGGGCGGAATCAGTCGAATTAAGCAATATGGCAATACCTAACTAAATTAATATTGTTGGAGATGAAGATTCGACTAAATCAATCAAAATTAGTGGGAAGAAATATCCAACAACGACTGAATCAAAGGACAACCCTTAAACTACGGCGGAATCAAACGGATGAGGATCCAACAACGACAACGTCAGGTGATGGAGTAAACATAAGAACATAGGAGAGGGCGATAAAATCAAACGAAGGGCTCAGGCAGACCTTCGCAATCACGTCGCTTCCTTAGCGTGTGTCGAACAGCTCGAGAGTATCTTCATTTCATTTGTCACTCACGAATCATGAGGGTTAGGGCAGTAGGATAATAAAACCTAACTAATTATTTTAATAATATTTAAAATTTAAATATTAGATTATCCTATAAATATAAATATATTTATAACTATATTAAAAATCCCTAAATAAAACTGTGTACTATTTGCGCCATTGCGCACAAATAGCACACGTCATTTTGAACATTTGTGCAACGCCATACAAATAGCGCATAGGTGCACCATGCGACGCATTATTTTGTGCCATTAACATATATGACCCCTTAGGCTCTAACTGGGAAATAAATCGTTTTTCAATTGCTTAAAAACACCTGTAATGCAAATTTAAATCGACTCAAGAACAAGACGATGCTCAAAAGGTTAGCCAAGGAAATACTCACGTCACATTTGACAAAAAATTAAAAATATATACATAAAGGTATTTGCAAAATAAGTCACCAATTAGGATAATTCCAAAATTACTGCAATATGCTCATAACTTAGGAAATGCAATACAACAAACGTAAGGGGTTGTTTGGCAACTAGGATTTAACTTTAATAGGATTTAATAAATTCAAATTTAAAAAATCCTATTAAAGTTAAATCTTGAAAATTGTTTGGCAATATGAGTGTTAAATTTTGCCTATTTGGCAATGTAACCCAAAATTTAAGAAAGTTAATTCATTAAAAACACAAATTTAATTTATGATTTAATACAAATTACTTCTTTATTTTAATTTAAATTATTATAAATAAATAAAAATAATAAAAAACATAATTAAAAACTTAATTAATAATATAACTTAGGTATATTAACTAGCTTAAGTCAAATTAATTAGGGGTGCAAACGAGACAAATCTAGCTCGAGTCAGGAATGCTTGAGCTCAACTCGCTAGCCAAATATCGAGCTTGACTCACCAGAGGAAGAAGAGCTCATCAAGCAGCAACTTCGTGGCCCGTGTACGCCCTACGGGCCACAACCTAGCCCACTGCCCGTGTTAGACTCTATTCGATCCCGCGCCCCAATCTGAGGCCGAGACCTAGCTCGTTTCCCGCGTCCGACTCCGTGCGATCCTATGCTCCTACTTTGTGTTCTCGCGCTACTATTTTGCAATACCTCCTCCGAGCTGGTTTGCGAGTAATCGAGCCGAGCTTTGGTTGGATAAAACTTGAGCTCAATAAGCCCAACAAGCTCGAAATCATGTTCAAGCTCAAATCGTCGAGCCCAATAACGAGTTGAGCCCAAGTTGGCTCGCAAGTCAACTTGACTCGGTTGCACCCCTACAATTATTATCATAGATGTTAATAATTTAATTAATTATATAACTACTATTATTATTTTGAATAGTTCTCTAACTTTTATTTAGAATATTAATTATCCGAGTTAATTTTTGGGTTTTCAAGTAAACACATATTTTGGAAACGGGTCAAAAAATCCAAACCCAGACTCAACCCATTTGCCCAATTGGTTGACCCAAACCCGAATTATTCGGGTGGGGTCCGAGTCGGGTTTCAGGTTGATTCGAATATTGACACCCCTAATGAACTAGCCGCTAAAAGTCCTCCTTCGACGAAATTCCTTATTGTCGAATCAAAAGTCACGATAGTTCACCATTCTGCCTATTGGATCAGAAGTAGCGACGTGAGCTCTCTGTTCTCCTTTCACATGCTTCTTCAAACTATATCCACCCTTTGAATCTCAGCCCGGGCTAGGGTTCCAGATTGTAAAACTCCATATTACCTCCCTAATAAAAACCTACAATCTACATACAAAACACTGAGAATAATATGAAGAAAATGTACCAAGAACCAAAAGAAATAAAGAGCAAAGCTCACCTTCCCACAACTTGGGCAAGAGTTTTGATATAGGAATCAATGATTTCATCCCTAGTCAATTTCTCGTCAGGCTTCTCCACGACCACAAGCCAGTGCTCGAAGTCGCAACCATCAAGGAGGATGGTCTCTTTCGGTGGCCGGTTGCTCCAATTCGGGGACGGATCTTGGATGGACGAGGTCGTCGATCGAGTCGAAAAGCAGCGACCAGCGGCACTGCGGCAATCAATGATGAGGCGGAGGCCCTCGCTAACAGGGACTAGATTTCGGAGTTGCGTAATCTGCGAGTGGCGAACGGAAAAGGTCCGATTGGCGAAGACGCGAGAGGCGGGGGTACAAATGGTACGAAAACGAGATAGAAGAGAGTACGCCGTCGCCATTGTAGAACGCGATGTAAGGAAAAGATGAGAGAAGGATTGGAGCAGAGGAGTATTGGAGCAGATAAGAAACCCTGGAGAGAGATTCGGAATAAGAACTAGGGTTTTGGTTTCCGGCTCTGAGCTATATAGCGAGCTTTACTCTGGGCCATATGGATCGTGTCTAGGAAGCCCATTTCGTTTGTCTTACGAGGGGAGGGTATTTTTCTAATTTAGGTATTGCAAAGAAATGCAGTATAAAATAAAAAATAGAATTAAAAAATATATTTTTAAGTTATTTGAATAAATATATTGCGGGCAGCTCGGGCAAGGGCAGGAATCAAATTTTTTTAAATTAAACGGGTTTTCGGGTTGACCCGGCAACCCGTCGGGTGAACCCGAACCCAACCCGTTTTTGTAAACGGGTCGGTTTCCCGGACTCGAACCCGACCAGCTTCGGGTTCGGGTCAACCCAAACCCGAAAATTTCAGGTCGGGTTCGGGTCGGGTATTCGGGTCGGGTCCAATATTGACAGATCTAAGCAATACTAACAGTAAGAAAGTTATAATCGGGGTGGTTGGCGATTGGTGACAGCGGTATCAATGATGGTCGGTGGTGGCGGCCTACTATAGCGGGATTGGTTGTGGTTGCTAGCAGGGACAATTTTTGGTGGTGGCCAGTGGGGGATGCTGCTGGCAGTGGTGGCCAGCAGAGGCGACGGCCAGCAATGGTGGCCGGTAGTAGCGAACAACAATGATAATATTGGTGTGTTTGCAGTGTATTTGAAAATCACCCAAATTGAAGGAATTTCAAATACACTCAAAATGGGGTATTTGAAATGCACTTTTTTACACTTTATATTTTACTTCAAACCAAACACCAAAATTTCTAAAATTCCTACATTTTGAGTACTTTACACCCTACATGCATGCAACCAAATAGCCCCTTAGGTGTTTGGTTTGGTAAAAAAAGTAAGATTTTTTTTGGGAGCAGTTAGGGCAATGCCCATATTTATTAACTATAAAAACATAATTACTGCAAAGCTAACAAAAGGCAAAATTACAACTCAATGAAGAGAAAACTAGAAAAATTCAGCTACAGTAAAAATAAAACATTGCTCAAACTCAAAAACTAAAAGGTCTAAGGTTTGAAAGAATGTAGCATATTTGAAGTGTTTAAAGTTATTTTGATGAGTATAAAAAGAATGTATGAAATTATTATTATTTTATTTGGCTTCACAAAAATGAATGCAGTTTGAAGTTTAAAATGGTAGTGGTCGACTAGCGGCAGTAGTGGTGGTTGGCGGTGACGATGGAGGTAGATGGTGCTGGAGATGAAGTTAGCCGATGGGGACTCCTAGTTGAACAGGATGGCTAGTGGTCAATGGGGACTCCTAGTAGCAAAGGGTATCTGGTAGTCGGTGACAGCAACAATGGTAGGCCAAGTGCTAGTTCCTGGAGGTTGTCCGTCATGGGTGGTGGTGGTCGATGGTGGTGGTCAAATGGAGATAGGAGTGGTGATAAGATAGCGTGTTTGTCGTGAAAATGATTTTTCATTCAAAATTGGGAGAGTTTACTTTATGTGAAAAATGAGCTAGAATACTTTGTATTATATTTAGAATACTTTGCACTACATTCTTTCTTCATCCAATCAAATACCAATATTTTTAAAGCCTTGAAAAAAAAAACTTTAGAGCTACTTTACTTCTAATCACTGAGAGCATTTACAATAACTTTCTAAGTACTAAATGAAAAAAAAAAAGACTTAACGGGTATAATTTCTTCTTTAGTTTGCTTCAACATAAGTTTCTATTAATTTTTATCTTGAATAATTTTCCACATTTTAATTGATGTGGATCATAACTTATAGTCAATTTAATCATTAATAATATAATATTACCTAGTGATCAAATTTGCATGCTAATGATGATTGACCTTTGGAAAACCTTTTATAATATTATAGAGATAAGATGATAAAGACCCTCTAACATCATATTTGTTGAAGAGAATCAATCTAAGAGTTTAAAGATCATTTTTATCTTGTCCAAAATATTGTGATTCATAAGTTTAAGTGGCCATCATTGGAGAGGCAAAGGAGCGCAAAAGAGAAAAGACACAACTCTTGTAGGGTACTCAATTAATTTCTATGGAATTTCATTTTTTTATGAGTGAATATAATATAGCTTGTTATAAATCGGTGATAGCTTTAGATATTTGTTGTTGTGATGTCCTAATTCTCTTTAGTTTTATAATAATTCAACATGATAGTGCATACTATCAAAATGTTAAGGAGTATGGTTTATGCTATAATTAGTTAGAGGATTTCAACTTAGAGAGTTAGACATATTACTTGATTCAAGATTGATCCAATTACAAAGATTTTTAAATTTAAAATGTATTGTGATCCTAAGAGAATGGACTTGTTATCTCATAAATAAAGACATGTGAATTGGATTAGTCTTTCTAACATTTTAGAGACAATTAGGACGACTAACTTATATCATGTAATAAAGATTAAATAGTAGGAACGAATTAGGTTCACAGTGAAATAGTGAGTCTGATCAAATTAAGATATTATTATTATTGTTATCATTTGACCACAAATAAGGTTAATTTAACCCAATTGAGGTTATCCAAGCAATTTAATATTCTTTGACCATTTTTTAAATTCTATTTAATGAATTTTTATTATTTTTGGGTATTTCCAAGTAAACAATTACGGCTTCTACATCTTAAAAATAGACTTGAAAATATTATGAGGAATTAAATATTTTCTTAGATATTTTTGAATTATTAAATAATTTTAGAAATTTTCATATTCCTCGGTGCTTTTTTCCTTTTTAATTAACCTATAATTAATTTTATGCTTTTTTATATTTTTCTTTTGCATTTCTTTAATTTTCTAATAGATCTCATTTTTTATGATAATTTTTATTAGTTAAAAGTTAGAGGCCTTTTTTCTTAAATTTTTCATATAGTTAGTAATCACTTTAAGTGATCAAACATAGGCTATTATGATAAGGTCCCAAGCCCCCAACAATAAGGATGTGAGATCATTTGCTATCATAAGTTAATTAGCATATATGTTAGTTTGAATTGCTTGAGTACAAGCCATTTTATAAAGTGATGGATATGTAGTCTATTATTTAAGATTCTGTAATATAATGTGTGCCCTTGATAGTCTATATAAGATAATCAAGCTATTAAAAGAGAAGAAAGGTGTTTCCAAATGATAAATTGCTTGAATCAAACTAGAGAAGTTATTTGCGAGCTAAAAATCTTTAATACTTTTTTTTATCTCATTTTCAGTCCACATGAACATGGAGGTTAGATGGGATATGCTTAATCTTCATTTTTATTCTATAAGCTCATCTTGTTCTTATTGATGATCGGAGCTTCAAATAATTTTATAATTATCTTTTCATTTCTTTTTTTTTCATTTTTGTTTTTAGAGTCGCACATCTTTGTGCTCAAACTCATGTCCTTTTTCATTCAATTTTTATTCTTGCTAAATACATGCACGCCTATTGTGCGGGCACTGATTTTGTCAATCTCTTTTATTTCTCAAAAAAATTAATCATGCTTCTATTTACCCTTCTAAGATGGCAGTAATAAAAAAGTTCTGGCAACCCAACATATCAAGAATGTTATTTATAAGTGGTGTGTGAATAATCAAGATAAAATTGACCTCCAAACTACCACAAAAAGGATCATATAAGAGCTTTGGAGGATCTAAGTAATGTTGTGACTTTCAATTGTGGTATTAAGAGAATCAAATGTGGCACCTATTTGTTTATGGGTGACAACTTTATCCTACTAGTGAGCTTAATTAGGCAAACATGGCAATAGAAGGATAAGTGAGTGGGGAGTAAGGGGAAGAGCTCTGGAATTTACTTGTCTTAATGAATAGTGAAAATAGCTTTAATGATCCCCAAGCTGACTATCAGCCCCTTATTTATAAAATTAGTTAGAAAGTATACATGAGAGGCTAAACCTAAATAAATAACAAAATAATATATGATTTAATTGATATAGATGCGAGAATAGAACTCTATGGCTATGTGTAGATAATCATCTCTTACATTATTTTTGGTTGCCTTTAAGGAGTAACTATGGTGGGTGCTCTTGATGAGTGTTTCTCCGACGAGTGCTTTTGCTAGTGACCCTGAATGAGTACACTTACTGAGTTCTTTTGATTCGGACTTTAATTTGATTGATGGGGCTATTATTGTTGGGTTGATAGATGTGAATCTCTTGTATTTTAGGTGAGGATTTCTCTGAGGAATGACTGACCTTAGTTGAGGAGACTCCTTTTAGGTGATGTCTCATGAGGCAAGTATGTCCTTAGGTTGAGGTACTCAAAGAGAAATTCATTCCTCAATCAATTCTATCGAGGATGTGTTTTCTTGGGTGAGCTCCTTTAGGGTGAGCTGCATTGTGACGAGTGTCTATCATTATTAGATCTTTCTTGGGTGGGTTCCCCATTTGAGCAAAACACATCGTGAACGATTGCTCCACTTAGCTTAGCTCCTTTGAGGCAAACTCGACCAATTAATCCTCAAGAGTTATTTATGTTGCGAATATGTTTTCAAGGATTATGATTTTGATGATAGCAAATACTCTTGTTTCTCTACGACTGCCTTACCTACTAACATTTCAGGTCAACAAGATCAGACTGTAATTTGGAACTAGCTCAAGATTGGGTAGACTAGGTCTGAGTCAGTTTGTACCTTTTTCCTTTCTTGAGTCTATTGTAATTGGTGTGACTCATGATTCTAAGTAATCTTACACACACACCTTGAAAGAATTTCTGACTATTCCCTAGAGTTTACTATTTTTTGTAACATCATCCGGGATGATATTTGTATCAGCCTAGACGATCGGTTCAAAAATAGAAACCTTAATTAGGGCATCATCCTCATTAAAGCAATCGTCATTAAGCCGATCGGCCTGGACGATACTTGTATCAGCCAGGATGATATGCTTAAATCAGAAAGAATCAGCCGCCATGATCAATTTAGGTATTCTTTATTTTAGGGCATCAGCCAGGACGATCTAAACATTGACTTGAACGATGCAGCATAATTATGCCTAAACTAATCTGGTAATTATGGAAAGGAATTAAGGCTGATTGATACGA